TCAGGCAATCCACTCACCTCAGCCTCCCAAAGGCGCGGAATTACAGGCTGAGCCACCGAGCCCGGCTAACACCGTGCTTGTTAATATAAGCTATACCTTTATGGAACTGTCGCCGGTATTACATTTAATAATACACACGAAGTATACTGTCCGGCGCGGTGGTTCAAGCCTGTAATCCCAGCATTTGGGAGGCGGAAGCGAGAGGATTGCGTGAGCTTAGGGATTCGAGACCAGCTTGAGCAACATGGCGAGACCTCCTGTCTACAATTAAACATTAGCCAGGTGTGGCGGCACGTGCTTGTGGTTCCAGCTACTTGGAAGGCTGAGGCGGAAGGATCACCTGAGCTCAACAGGTCGAGGCTGCGGTGGCTGTGAGTTTGCCACTGCACCCCAGCTTGGGCGACAGAGTGAGACTCCAACTCAAAAAATAAAAATAATAATAGACATGAAGTAGTGTATATGTAGTATATGAAGAACCGTGCTAAGCGTTCAACTGATTATAAGATATATAATAAGATATACAACTGATAAAATGACAACCGAGATATCGATCCTCAAAGACACAGGAGATGGAAACTGAGGTTAGGCGTGGTCTTACAAACCTTGCCCAAATTGAGAAGATCATCGGCCGCATCCCTTACTCAGATCAACACCTCCTCGGTTGACCACAGTAGCGCCAGCCTAGGCTCCCGGAAGGTAAACACATCGCAAAGGGTGGGGCAGAAGGCGGATTTGGAATGGGTGAATGGTCAGCTAAAAGTGATTGGCAGCTGCCATGTCCACGTGCTTTGAGCTTCGAACCGGCTGTCGCGAGAATTCGATGTAAACAGACCGGTCTCCCTGTCCTCCGGCTCCCAATTCGGGTGGCGTGGACTGGAGTCTGGGGATTGTTGGTTTTCTTTTCTTTTTTTTCTTTTTTTGACAAAGCCAAGAAGGTGCTATCTGCAAAGAAAATAACACATGTTTGTAATTATTTCCCACCTGCCTGCGTTCGCAACCGAACCTGACACGTCGGCTTCACCCGAACTTACATACTGTTGTGTTTTTCCTCCAGCCCCAGCGGATTGGATAACTCCAGGAGGCGGGTCCGCCTGTTTTCTACTTGCTGGTTGGCGAAGCTGACCTCCAAGGGCGGTGCCCGGCCATAGCCATTTGGCTTCTGGGATTGGCTGGAGGGGTGGTTCCGCTGAGGCGTGGTAGGAAGTGGCAGCCGTCAATCACGCGGGGAGACTCCAAACAGTGAGCCTTGAGCTGGAGAACAGCGTTTACCGGCGGGGCGGCCGGTGAGAGGGCTGGCGGGGCTTTGGCTTTGGGTAGGCTGAGAGAGGACGAGGGACAGGCAGCGTGAGGGTTCTGGACTGGGCTGGGCTGGCAGGAAATCGACGGTGGAGAGGTGTCGGTACAGGAGGGGGAGGGGAGAAGGGCAAGGGGCCAGAGGGCCGCCGGGGGCAGCGGTGGCTCGGTGTTGGAGGTTAAGTGGGTAGCGCTGAGCGAGTGTCTTTCAGGAGAGTGGGGCCTGAAGGGCTGGCGGGGGTCGTCCCCAGGTGACAGGCCCTTGCCAGGACAGGGATTGGGAGACTGTGGTTTGAGAAAGAAAGGATGGGATGGAAATGGGAGGACTGGAGGTGAAGGGACCCCCTGAGGAAGAAGTGGTCGCGGGGCTAGTTGGGGCAAAGGGTGTTTTGGTTGTAGGAGGTGGGGAGTTTTCAAATAAGGTGCGAAAATGCTCCTTATTCAGAAGTGATGGTTTTAGGTTCTTTCAAAATTATTTACAGGCTGTGAGGCTTTCCTGAGCCCTGAAAGAGATCTTTAATATTGCTGTCAGATCTCTTTCAACCTTCACCAAGCATGCTCCATGCTCTTAAAACCATCTCAGTGATTCAGAGGCTCATTAGACATCCTAGAATCAGGAATTTTTGATGCCATGGGAAAGGTTAAGGGACTCCTAATGTCTTATAAGTTTATGTTACTTATTTGACTTACTTATTTGTTACTTACTAGATTCTGATAATTATGTTACAATAGCAGGGGGTTAAAAATATTTAATTTGTGGCCATTCAGTCTTAGTCAACGATTCCCAGCAGGTTCAGTTGGAAGGTAGAGGGGGTGTCATGTCATTGTTCCATTTGGTCTTGAAATATTGTACCATGTGTATTTTCATTATATCAACACACAAGTTCAGTAAATTCCCATCCCATGTTCTGGTTCTCTTACCTTTCTGGTTTATGTTAACAACAGACCATAGGATCTAGCAAGAGTCTTACTAGTTCTGTGGTTCTGAGACCTGGTCCTTTATGAAAGAAACAAACAGAAAACCTCACAATTTGAAAACTTTAAAAAATCTGCTTCTCCTCTTTTCCCTTTCTGATGTAACAAGAATTGCTGGGAAAGTTTCCTGCATTTTAAGCATTTTTGACAAGGGGTCTCTAGTGAGCAACCATAACCTTCCCCTTTACCCTGACACTAATGTTCAATTGTTTTCTTTTTATTCTGAAAACAGGTTTTATGAATGAAGCTATGGCTACAGATTCCCCAAGAAGACCCAGTCGATGTACTGGTGGGGTTGTGGTTCGCCCCCAGGCTGTCACGTAAGCACATTTCAGATAAGCCCAGTAGCTGAAGAAATATATTACTCGGAGTAATAACATTCAGGTTTTCCTTTTGAACAGTGAATACTTTTGTACAGACCTCTTAAATTTTGATATGAGGTGGAAAGATCATCTGAGCCATGCAGGTTGAGGCTGCAGTGGCCGTGAGCGTGCTGCTGCACTCCAGTCTGGGCGACTTCAACTCCAAAAAAAAAAAGAATTGTTTTTCTCCACTTGCATATGTATATCCATATACTTCCTATTTAAAGTATATTAACTTCCTCACTTTATTTATTTATTTTTGAGTCAGAGTCTCACTGTCACCCAGACTGGAGTGCAGTGGTACACTCATGGCCACTGTAGCTTCAACTTGCTGGGCTCAGGCGATTCTTCTGCCTCAGCCTTCCAAGTAGCTGGAACCACTGGCATGGGCCACCACACTTGGCTAACTTTTTTGGTTTATTGTAGAGAGGAGATCTTGCCAAGTTGCCCAGGCTGGTCTTAAACCTCTGGGCTCAGACAGTTCTCTCGCCTCCACCATCCAAAGTCCTGGGATTACAGGCATGAGCCGTTGCGCCTAGCCTAATTTCCTCACTCTAATGCCTTTAAATATTTTCTCATGCCTTGTCTGTGCAAAAGTTTTGTGAGAACCACTTTAAAAAAAAACAACAAATTTTGAGTTGGGGGAATCTCACTCTGTTGCCCAAACTGGAGTGCAGTGGCATGATCACTGGTCACTTCAGCCTCAACTTCCTGGGTCAGGTGATCCTTCTGCCACAGTCTCCCAAGTAGCCAGGACTACAGGCACATACCACCATGCCCGGCTAATTTTTTTGATTTATTGTAGAGACAAGGTCTCTCTATGTTGCCTAGGCTGGTTTTGAACTCCTGGCCTCAAGCAGTCCTCCCACCTTGGCCTCCCAAATGCTGGGATTGTGAGGACCTTTTACTAGCTTGTTGCAATGTCTGCACCTTCAGCAGAATGCAGACTCATTTGCTACATATTGGTAAAGGACTACGTTCACAACCAGTTTATAGAGACAGTCATTAAATACTGAGTCATCAGCCTCAGTTTTTCTTGTACCAAATAGGGCATTCTTCTGCTCTGACTCAAGAGAGAGGTTCTGCTTTAGCCAGGTCTTCTGTCTGTCATCTTGCCTTCAAATATGAGTTAGAAGTTATGTTTATCAAATCAGGAGAAGATGACTTTTAAAAAGAGGGAATGTTTTTAAAAAATGTTGAAAACTCATTTATATTTAATAACATACACAAAGATTTATGAAACCAGAAAGTAGTTTAGTAGAATTATCAGATGATGAATCAGTCTTTTTTTTTCGTGTTTTAATATTATGAGTGACATTATTGGGACTTGTAAATAGAACTTTTTTATGGTCTGTGTTAAGCTCTGATGACAAATTTTATCCATTTTATCCTTTTCCAGAGAGCAATCCTACATGGAAAGTGTTGTGACTTTTCTACAGGATGTTGTGCCACAGGTAAGTATCTATGTGATTTCAGAAATCGTAGGTTTTGCCTTTGGCCAGGAAAGCTCTGAAATATTCTATTTCCTAACTTAACGCTAATATCAGCAACTTTAGAAAGGCTTTTGAGATTTTAGCAACCTGAGCATTGGTAGGGTGGAACTACATTTGTTATTGTGTAGATGTGTTTCAGTGTTCTGTATGACAGTGGCTTCCTTATGACGTGCCTTCCTAAGTGGAATCAAGGTGAGATGTTAGTAGAGAGTTGGGACTTTGACACTCATTGAGTTCCATTTCCAAAATCTTTCTCTTGTACTACTAAAGAGTTACCTGTCTAATGTGAGAAAAGTAGCATACACTCTGCACTTTTTTTAACTAGACATTAAGTACGTGTACCTGGGCACAAATCTACATCTCTTTTATGTTGAGCAATAGTTTATAGGGTTACAAGTGTATTCTTGTTACTCTGAATTATAAGCAGTTAAGCCTTTCACTGTTCTCTTTGTATACATGTGAGACTACCAAACAGGAACAGCCTTACTGGGATAATTTAGTATACTATTGCCCAAACTTAACATAAGTCTCATTTGGCAGACTCTCAGAGTGTCTGACATAGTAGATTTGAGGTGTTATCCAGTAACGTGTGTTTATAGTAATAGCCTCAGGTGATTCTTATGAAACGGTAGCTTTGGGAAGCAATGTTCTAGTGGAACTGCTAAAGGGAAAGGTTTCCATATTTTCTCTTTATGTTTAGGTCAGTCCTCTTTGATTTTCATAGTATCTGATTGCATATAGCTCCAGAGTTGCATCTTGATGAGAGGGTCCTAGAAAACAAAGTGCCTTCAACCTGAGAAAGCTGATTAGAACAAGAAAGAAGAAAAAGTGCCATAGTAACAGAGTGGAAAGAAAATGAAATTCAGCTGGAGAACATCAAAGAAGGCTTAATGAATGAGATGCAGTTTGAATTGAGGCATAGAGCTGCATAAAATTCAGTGCTGATAAATAGGTTGGGTATGTGATGAGAACCGTTGGATCACAGAAGGTGTTGCTTTAGTTGGCAGGAAAGCTATAACTTAACATTTTGCACACCATGCTTAGAGTTTCTCAGTGATTAGGAGCACAGACTTTTTTTGTTTTTTTTAGACAGGGTCATGCTTTGTCACTCTGGCTGGAGTATAGTGGTGTGATCACAGCTCATAGCTCACTGTAACCTTGAACTACCGGGCTCAAAATCCTCCTGCCTCAGCCTCCCAAGTAGCTGTGACTATAGGCACGCACTACCATGCCTGACTAATTTTTTATTTTTTGTATAGATAGACTCTTGCTATGTTATCCAGACTGGTCTTGAAGTCCTGGCATCAAGCTATCTTCCTGCCTCAGCCTCCCAAAGCACTGGGATTATGGGCATGTGCCACCATACCCTGTCAAGCACAGACTTTGATATTAGATGTTGCTTTATATTTCAACTCTTCATCTTATAGCTCTGAACAAGTTACTGAACCTTTCTAAATATTAGTGTTCTTATGTGTAAAATGGGATTAGTCATTATATTCATTTTGTGTTTGCTTTTAGGTTTAAAGGATGTCATGTTATAAAGCACAAAAAAACCAAAGCAGATATTAAGTAGTCTCCCTTGGAGTGAGTCTGAGGAGACTAGGGAGCCAGAGAAGAGATGTAGATTTATGGGGTACAGTCAGTAGTCAAAATAATTGGGTCACCTGAAGACATGATTTCTTTTCTTTTTTTTTTTTTTGAGTCAGAGTTTCACTGTGATGCCCAGACCTTTTGGGTTCAACCTTCCAAGTAACTGGAACTACAGGTGCATGCCACCACACCTGGCTAATTTTTTGACTTATTGTAGAGATGAGGTCTCGCCAAGTTGCCCAGGCTTGTCTTGAACCCATGGGCTCAGGCAGTCCTCTCACCTCAGCCTCCCAAAGTGCTGGGATTATAGGTGTGAGTTATCACACCTGGCCTGAAAATTGTTTTTTTGTTTTTTTTTTTTGCAGTGGCTGGGAGCGGCCACTGTAGCCTCGACCTGCTAGGCTCCGGCGATCCTTCCGCCTCAGTCTTCCAAGTAGCTGGAACTACAGGTGCGCGCTACCACGCCTGGCTAATTTTTGATTTTATTGTAGGGATGAGGTTTCACCAAGTTGCCCAGGCGGGTCTCGAACCCATGGGCTCTGGCAGTCCACTCACCTCAGCCTCCCAAAGTGCTGGGATTACAGGCTGAGCCACCAAGCCCGGCTGAAAAATTATTTTTAAAAAAGAATTCAGCAAAGAAAACAAGGTAAAGCTCAGAACTTTTCAGTGTGATGAAATTTTCACATTTTTCATTGTAAACAATTTTAGCCAGATTAAATGTCAATTAACAATCAAACAAATGATGATGCCTCCTGGTCCCCATAGAAGAGTTTGTTTAACTAAACATTTTATTTTTGACAATAGCATACTACAGAAGTTATTTTCTCTGCAGTGAAAAAATAAGACAGCACTCAGAATGACACCTACAGTAGCTACAGTGACTATGTTTTATAAAATTCAGAAATAACTTTGTACTTATGAATATGTGTATGTGTGTTAGAAACCAGATGAGGTATAAAAGGAGAAGTAAGTAAATCTTGTCAGTAATGGGATGAAAGTTTTGTCTGTAAATAAGAAGGCTAGAGAAATTGCTCTTGATTGAAGAAGGGCTTATAATCTGTGCTGCAGAAAAGAAAAATTGTGTGGTAATACTTTGTCCTCCATAAAGCCATTAAGTGAAAGCTGGATGGACACTGGATGAACCTGTGTCTCACTGAGAATAAGGTATCTAAACACGGGCAAAGGAGAAGCAGAGGGGAAAATGATGTGACATGACTTCTTTGTGCAAGCCTGCAGGAAAGTACACAGAAAACAGTCCTCAGGTGCTTCAGTCTACTTCATAGAACTTTCTGAAAAATGCTTAATAAAGTAGAACACCATGTCTGCTAGGGAGAGAGTAAAGCTTGACGACTTAGTAAAGCATACAAGCCTTATTATGCAAGACTTATTTCTCATACAGATCACAAAAGGAGATTAAAGAATCCCAATACACCGAAAGGCCCCTTTCACCCTTGTTTTGTGTTGCATATCACCCAGAATTCAGGTGAGCATCTTGAAGATGTCTACTAAGCTGGAGAAAAATTTTTCTGCTTTCCCAGATTAAAGGAAAGCCTGGCATAGGAAAAGAAAAGTCTTAAATGCAATGTGGCATCCTGGATTGGATTCCAGAGCAGAGAAAGGACATTAGGGAACAGACTTGTGAAATCCAAATAATAATACCTGAGGTCTAATTAACAGTTATCCTCCAGTGTTATTTTTGTGGTTTTGACAAATGTACCATAAAAATGTAAGATTTGACTAGATTAGATAATTAGCATTAGGAGTAAGGATTATGATGAACATTCTCTGAATTGTGTTTTTTTGTTTCGTTTTTTTTGGGTCAGAGTCTCACTCTATCATTCAGGCTGGAGTGCAGTGGCACACTCACGGCCACCCCAGCATTGACCCGCTGGGCTCAGGCAATCCTTCTGCCTCAACCTTCCAAGTAGCTGGAACTACAGGTGTGCACTACCACACCCAGCTAATTTTTTGATATATGGTAGAGACAAGTTCTCACCAAGTTCCCCAGGCTGGTCTTGAATCCCTGGGCTCAGGCAGTCCTCTTGCCTTGGCCTGCTAGAATGATGTGGTTACAAGCCTTAGCCACCGTGCCTGGCCTGTTTTGTTTTTTTTGAGTCAGGGTCTTACTCTGTATCCTGGTGCAGTGGATGATCATGGCTCATGGCATCCTTGACCTTGTGGGCTCAGATGATTCTTCCCCTCATCCTCCTGAGTAGCTGGGACCACAGGCATGCACCATCATGCCTGGCTAATTTTTTTGATGTTTTGTAGAGATTAGGTCTCACTTTGTTGCCTAGGCTCATGTACTATGTTAAATAATCTAAAATTGTCCCCAAATACAAAAAAAGAGTTTTCAAGGATGAAAAGAGCAAGACTGAGGAAGAAGATAAGGATGAGGTAACTGAAGGTAAAGTTGATGAGTTAATTTGTTCCAGTACAAGTTTTCCTCTTCTCAGAAGGAATTAACTGCCCTGTACACATCTCACTTGTTTTTTAAAAAAAGGTAGTTTTAGGTCAGGTGCAGTGGCTCACGCCTATAATCCCAGCACTTTGGGAGGCTGAGTTGAGAGGATTGTCTGTGTCCAAAGATTCGAGACCAGCCCGGGCAACTCGACGAGACCTCATCTCTACAATAAATCGAAAAAATTAGTCGGGAGTGGTGACACGAGCCTGTAGTTCCAGCTACTTGGTAGACTGAGGCGGAGGGATTGCCTGAGCTCAAAAGTTTGAGACTGTGGTGGCCGTGAGTGTACACTGCACTCCATCTTGGGTGATAGAGTGAGATTCCAACTCAAAAAAAAAAAAAATAGACCAGGTGTGGTGAGACCAACTTAGGCAACTTGGCGAGATCTCTTCTCTACAATACATAAAAAAATAAGCCAGGCGTGGTGGTGCACACCTATAGTTCCAGCAACTTGGAAGGCTGAGGTGGAAGGATTGCCTGAACCCAGCAGGTTGAGGCTGCGGTGACCGAGAGCATGCCACTGCACTCTAGCCTGGGCGACAGAGTAAGACTCCAACTCAAAAAATAAAAATAAAAATAAAAAATAAATAAAAAAGGTCATTTTTTGGTATAGTATTTTTTTGATCCTAGTGTTAGGATAACCCTGTCATGGTAGTATTTTCTTTTCTCTCTCTCTCTCTTTTTTTGGGGGGGGTTGGAGTCTCATTCTGTTGCCCAGGCTGGAGTTCAGTGGCACGTTCATGGCCGCCACAACCTTGTCCTGCTGGGCTTAGGTAATCCTTCTGTCTCAGCCTTCCAAATTACTGGAATCAGGTATACGCCACCATGCCTGGCTAATTTTTTTGGTTTATTGTAGAGATGAGGTGTTACCAAGTTGCCCAGTCTGGTCTCAAACCCATGGGTTCAGGCATTCCTCTTACCTTGGCCTCCTAAAGTGCTGGGATTATAAGCATGAACCACTGCGCCTGGCAGTAGTATTTCAATAGCTGTTAACCTTGTATAGCCAGTATAGATACTGTAAATTTACATAGAAATTCATAGCAGGTCATATATAACAAATAATATATGAATGATAGTTTTTACTTGCTTTTGATACATCTTATATTTAAAAACTTCTGCAAACTGGATACTACTTTATAATTACAAAAAAAAAATGTTGCAGCACTTTTGCTGTTGTTTTTTTTGTTTGTGTTTGTGTTTTTGAGTTGGATTAAAGCTGTTGCCCAGGCTGGAGTTGCAGCAGCATGCTTATGGCCATCGCAGCCTTTACCTGCAGGCCATCCTTCCGCCTCAGCCTTCCAAGTAGCTGGGACCACAGCTATCATGCCATGCTAATTTTTAAAATTTTTTTATTGTAGAGGTGAGGTCTTGCTAAGTCGCCCAGGCTGAACTTGAACCGTGGGTTCAGGGAATCCTCTCTCCATCGCCTCTCAAAGTGCTGGGATTATAGGCATGAGCCACTGTGCCCGGCTGATTTTTTTTTTCCTTTCCTTTTGAGTCGGGGTCTTATGCTGTTGGCCAAGCTAGAGTGCAGTGGAACAGTCATGGCTTGCCACAATCTCGACGTCCTGGGCTCAGGTGATTCGCACACCCTCATGCCTGGCTAATTTTTTTATTTTTTATAGAGACAAGGTCTCACTATGTTGTCCAGGCTGGTCTTGAACCCTTGAATTCAAGCAATCCTCCAGGCTTGGCCTCCTAAAGTAGTGCTAGGATTGCAGGTGTGAGCCACTGTGTCTGGTCTATTTTGTTGATATTCTAAATGCTTTTAAGTATATACAATCTTTACAACTTTTAAGTAAAAACATACTTAATGGGAGTTGCCTCTTTTTGAATACTGACTGTTGACTCTTCGTGGCCATTCATACTTATCTTTGTGACCCTTGCAGGCTTCTAGGAATTAACTGATAGTTTGGGTCTGGAAGCCAGATAAGAGGCTGAAAAATTACAGTAATAATCTTGAAAAGTGTAGGTAGAGTGTAATTGTCTGATCACAAACACCTAGGAATTCAATAGATGAGATGGTAGTTTTATTTTCTAAGCCTTCTCTATTTGTTGACCAATCCAGGGGGTGGTTTAGTTTTTTGTATGCCTTTGATTTATAGTGATGCCTCATAATAGATTGTGATAATTATATTTTAGGTTTCTGCAGTTTTTTTATTTTTTGAGTTGGAGTCTCACTCCATCATCCAGGCTTGAGTGCAGTGGCACAGTCACGGCCACCTCAGCATCGACCTGCTGGGCTCTGGCGATCCTTCTGCTCAGCCAGAACTACAGGTGTGCGTTACCGTGCCTGGCTAATTTTTTATTTATTGTAGAGATGAAGTCTCACCAAATTGCCTGGGCTGGTCTCGAACCCGTGGGCTCAGGCAGTCCACATACCTAGGCTTTCCAGAGTGCTGGGATTACAGGCTGAGCCACCAAGCCCGGCCTACAGTTTTTAAAATAGGTTAAAAACGTTTTTGACAAAGGTAATCAGACTTGACTCCTGGATAATATTCTTTGGGAGTAATAATATTCCAAAATGTGCTAGCTACCAAGATGTAGTGTTGGTGAAGATGGAGAGATACAGTGTTGACTTAAATTGAAGTCACTCTTTGTTTTGTGTCGGTGGTATTAGAACTGTAAAGTATCTTTATTTAAATGTTTCTGTTTACTGTGCAGGCTTACAGTGGAACACCTCTAACAGAAGAAAAGGAGAAAATAGTCTGGGTCAGATTTGAAAATGCAGATTTAAATGGTATGGTTTTAACTTTTTTGGGACATGTTAATTGTTTGGGGTTGACCTGATTCCAAAAAGAGAACCTTTACTTTAGTCATATTACTTTCATTATGGTAACTTTTTAGTTTTCAAAATATAAGGTAACAACCACACTACCGAAACTTTTTCTTTTGACTAATATTATGTTATAAAACAAGTCTTAAAGTAACTGCAGCACAGTATGTAGCCTTAAATTTTAATTAAGTTAAAGTGCGTGAACATTTTCTTCGAAAGTAAGTTATTAATCCAAGTTTGGTCAATGGTACATGATTTATAATTGCAAAATAATAATTAGTGTTGAACTTTCTAAGCATGAAAATTATTTTTTTTCTGAACAGAATTTATACTAGTTCAAGGTCTGTTTTTCTCAGATATATGCCTTTGCTCTTTCATGCTGTCTCTTACAAGGGGGCTCCTCTTGTGTGTTCCCAGTCTGCATGTCTGTTGTCTTCTGGCTGAGTTTGGGAGGCACTGGTGAGAAATTGAATGAGAGAATGGGAGAAGGGGAAGAGTATTATTCCATCTCCCTCTTTCAGTTGCAGCTGCATTTCCTCCAAAGGTTCTAGCTTCCACTGGGCAACCCCGTTGGCATTCCAGTTTCTGTCACGTGACGCACCCCCTGCACCCTTCAGTTTGTCTCCCTCTCCTAGGGGTGGGAAAGACTTCCTGCTGTTACTAATGGGTAGGTTGCCTCACAGTTCCTCATTTGGCTTTTCCTCACCTGTGTAGCCAGTTTGCATTAAATTCCCTATTTTAAATACACTATGTTTTCATTTCCTAGTTGGACATTAATAGACTCTGGAGTCTTTGTCTCCTCTAAGACTTTTTAAAAATTTGGGGTTCAAGTAAAGGAAAGACTTTTTGTTTGTCTCTGATTTTTTTTTATCATGGTAAAATAGACATAGCATAAAATTTACCATCTTGCCATTTTTAAGTATACAGTTCTGTGGTAATAAATACATTTATAATGTTTTGCAACCATCACCACCATCCATTTCCATAGCTCTTTTCATCTTGAAAAATAAACTCTATACCCATTAGGCAGTGATTCTTCACTGCCCCCCACCAACTCCTGGCAACCACTATGCTATTTTCTGTCTCTATGAATTTGACACTCCAAGTACCTCATATAAGTGGAATCATATAGTATTTGCTTCTTTGTGACCTGCATATTTCACTTAGCATAGTGTACTCAAGGTTCATCTATTTTGTAGCATATGCCACATTTCTTCCCTTTTAAAGGCTGAATAATATTCCATTCTGTGTACATACCACATGTTGTTTATTCATTTATTAATGGATGCATAGGTTGCTTCCAAGTTTGAAGTATTGTGAATAATACTCCTATAATACTCATATATATATATTTATTTATTTATTGAGGCAACATCACACTCTGTCACCCAGGCTCACGGCCACTACAACCTTGACCTGCTGGGCTCAGGCGATCCTTCCACCTCAGCCTTCCAAGTAGTTGGAACTACAGGCGTGTGCTACCACACCTGGCTAATTTTTTGATTTATTGTAGAGATGAGGTCTTGTGAAGTTGCCTGGGTTGGTCTGAAAACCCCGGGTTCAGGCAATCCTCTCACCTCGACCTCCCAAAGTGCTGGGATTATAGCCTTGAGCCACTGTGCCCAACTTGAAAACTTATTATATTTTAATTTTTTTTCTTTTTGTGACTGTCTACTAGTATATTTGGTTACTTCTTCCTTTTTTTCCTTCTTTAGTAATGACTATTTGTTTCTCACCTTTTGTTCTCTATTACCTTTTACTCTTTATTTCAGACTTTTCTTTCCCTCCTGGAAATATATTTTTGCTTTTTGTATATTAGAATATGTTAGAAGACTTTTTGTTTAATAACAAAGAAATAGCCAGGTGTGGTAGCACGTGCCTGTAGTTCCAGCTACTTGGAAGGTTGAGGTGGAAGGATCACTTGTGCCCAGCAGGTCGATGCTGGGGTGGCAGTGAGTGTGCCACTGCCCTCTAGCCTGGGTAACGGAGGGAGGCGCCAACTAAAAAAAAACAAACCAAAAACCAAAGAAAATGTGGTCATAGTCTTAAAAAGATTAGTTTCAAAAGTTTATTGTACCACATATATAAAATGTTGAATATTTTTTTTGAGACCAGGTACAGTGGCTCATGCCTGTAATCCCAACATTTTGGGAAGCTGAGGTGGGAGAATCACTTGAGTTCAGAAGTTTAAGGCCAGCCTAGGCAACATTGTCTGTATAAAAAAAAAAAAGTCAGATGTGGTGATTTGCGACTATAGTCCCAGCTACTTGGGAGGCTAAGATGGAAGGATTCATTGACTGCAGGAGTTCTAAGCTGCAGTGAACCATGACTGTGCTACTGCACTCCAGTGTGGGCAACAGAGTGAGACCCCAACTCAAAAAAATATTGATTTTTGAGAAGTATGGGCTTAGTTCTATAATAAAAAATAAAACAATTTTAAAATCACTAATTAACCTTAAAAAGTGTTATCAAAATAATTCTTACCTAGCCACAGTTTTCTTTTTGTTTATATTTTAACAACAAGTAAGAATTTCTGGGATAATGTTCCATAAAGACTTTACTTTTTTGAAGTAGAAATGCATTTGGAAATATAGTCGCATCCTACTTGAAAATTATTTTGTACTCTGTGTCCTATTGAGCTTAAATACTTCAGCACAGTTACATATCCTTTGGTTTTTCCTTTCTATATTGGTATTGTATGAAATCTTGGCCTTGGATTTTTATGAATATACTTTTTATTTTCTGTATCTCTAAGGGTGTGTGTGTCTGTGTATATATTTATTTATGCCTGTGTGTGTGTGTGTGTGTGTATTTGATTGCACTTTTTTCTTCTTTTAATTTGGAGTCTCGCTTTGTTACTCAGGCTGGAATGCAGTGGCACGCTCATGACCACTGCAGCCTTGACCTGCTGGGCTCAGGTGATCCTTCTGCCTCAGACTTCCAAGTAGCTAGAACTACAGGCGTGTGCCACCATGCCCGGCTAATTTTTTTTTTGTTTGTTTAGGCTGGTCTTGAACCCCTGGGCTTGGGCAATCCTCTCCCCTCCAGCTCCCAAGGTGCTGGGATTACAGGTGTGAACCACCACACCTGAGCGCATTGCATGTTTTAAGGCAGTAGTAAATCTTACTGTAAAAAGACAAAAATTACAACAATTTAGCTTAAAGATCTTGTATTTATTTACAGTTCTAGAACTGGTTATGAATATGCCATATGATCAAAGAGGAAAAGTTTTCATTAGGAGATTTTAGTGGCTCAGTTTGCACCACCGTCCTATTATTGGAAGAGTTGCTGTGGCTAAGGATGTAGTTACTACAACTAGTCATGTGCCTATCTGTGTGTTTGATGGAGGATTGGGTTAGTTACCAGAAAAGGAGGGGTACAGAGTAGGAAATGTGTGAGGTACACAAAGGTAATAGCTGCTACAAGCCTCTTGCTCTAGAAGGTTGGGTCCCCATTTCAGTTGCCTCCTAGACATCTTTTCTTAGATGTACCACAGATGCCTCAAACACTGATTTATTTTTCCATCCAATTATCTCTCCTTAACAGCTATACTCCAATCATGCTCACCTTTCAGGTGCTAGAAGGCACAGAACCTTTCATGCCAGGATCTTTGCACAGGGTACCCTCTGGGTAACATGTTCTTTCTACCTTTATCTGCACATTTACTTAATAGCATGTACTAAAAATGACTCCTCAGTTTCTAACCTGGATATTGGCAGAAGGTTGCTGCTGTTAGTATGAACGTGGAATGCAGAAGAAGCAGGTTTGGGAGAAACAATTCAATTTTACTTTATACCTTAACTTTTTTTCTTGAGTCAGAGTCGCACTCTGTTACCCAGGCTGGAGTGCAATGGCATGCTCATGGCCACCAGAGCCTCGACTTGCTGGTTCAGGTGATCCTTTCTCCTGAGGCTTCCAAGTAGCTGGAACCACAGATGCATGCCACCACGCCCGGCTACATTTTTTTCTTTTGAGTCGGAGTCTCACTCTGTTTCCCAGGCTGGAGTGCAGTGACATTCTCACGGCCACCACAGCCTCTACCTTCTGGGCTTAGGTGATCCTTCCACCTCAGCCCTCCAAATAGCTGGAACTACAGGCACACACCGCCACGCCTGGCTAATTTTTTTGATTTATTGTAGAGACGAGATCTCACCAAGTTGCTCAGGCTGGTCTTGAGTCTGTGGGCTTAGGCAATCCTCTCACCTTGGCCTCCCAAAGTGCTGGGATTATAGGCGTGAGTCACTGTGCCTGGCCCATACCTCAACTTTTAAGGTCTGAGCAGAAACCCTAGTATCCCCATCCTCCTACCACAGTTTCAAACAGTGTTCTAAGGAGGGAGAGTGTACTGAGTTCGGTAATGAGGGAAGATTCAGATAAGACTGGAAACATTTTTGAAGGATGGATGAATCAAACGAAGAGAAGGCATTGTAGTTGGCCAAAACCACACAAGGATGGAGATTTCTATGCAGGAAAGACTGTAAAGTTCATATTTAAGAGTAGAATAAGAAAAAGAAACCAGTGAAAATAAAGACGATAAAGAACAGTTATGAATAGAATAAACAGTAATGGCATGATATTAAGTTAAAGACAAACCAAGGAACAAGGATTGCTTAAACTATAATAATTTTGAAGAATAATATAAAATTTTTTACAAAATTAGGTTTTTCATTCAGAATAATGAAGTCTGCTATACCACTACCGTCCAGAGCAAGTGACTAAGCAGAATCTAAAATAAAGAGAAAGTAGATATTGTTCATATAATGACCTCAGGTTTTACATGTGGCGTTTGAGCCCTTCTAAAAATAATAACCTGGGATCAAGGTGAGCTTGTAGTAGAAAGATGGCTGGATTGAGTGTCAGGAGTCCAAGATTTCTCATTTACCTATGAGTACATTATACCTAACTTGTTGTTTGTCAGTGAGGAAATGAAGTTGACCTTTTCTCTGCATATGTAACAGGATTGA